CCCGGAGCGGTGCTACTGACTGAAGTGTTTTTAGGCCATCCCCGCAAGGGGGACATTAACCATGTTCTTATGCACAGTAGAATTGTAATTGTAAGTGGGCTGATTCATCAATGTCATTCTCATAACTGTGCCTGAACTGCAGCCGGAAACTGCTGCTTTTTCTTTCCTTTTCCTTACTATCGTCATTTCCCCTCTGCTTCTTTTGTTTGTTTGTCACACTCTTGTGAAACGCTACTTCCAGGGTGCCTTGATAGTCAAAGCAGACTTTGTGCTGTTGAAGCTAGAGAGGTGAGCAGAGTAAGCCTGATCAGTGATTCCCTGTAAGTAGTGTAAGGACTTCTCTGTTGACATCCACTCCTTGGCGCTCACATGACCTCATGCACTTGCGAGCTCCGTAAAACCTTACTAAACCAAACAGAACTTCTGTAAGCGAAGGGCATAAGAAATTGACTTAAGGGTCAAATCTATTAAAGAAAAGAAGATGTTTATTTGATGTAGTATTATACTTTTGACAGCATCGTTTCCTCACCCAACCTCATCCAATGTGATTTTGTAGATAAGGGACCATTTGACCAAAATGGCGTCCCATCCGAGCCTGCAGGTACTGGATGGAGCAGTTTCAACGCTAAAAGAATCTAACTTAACATTTATTCCCTCATCTACGAGGAATACACAACGAATCAGCAGAAAAATACAAATTACTCTTACCACATTAGAATTGAACTATGGTCTTCTGCGTACAAGGCAAAAAGCCTAACCGCTACACCACGCAACAGACGTCGATGCAGGACCATACGTGAGTGTTGTTTATCAGACTGGACCTTGTATTTTGGAAACAGACCCATTACAAATATTTCTAAAATAGGAGAGAAGTCTATTTGTGAGGCGAGCTGACAAAATGAGTTACTTCTCCGATATTAGCCCTACGGACATAGATATGTCAATTATTTTGGTTGAGTTTATAAACGTATTTGTATGAAATGATAAAAGAAATGTTCAGCTTGAAGAAAATGGCACCCGTTTATGATCTACAAATTTGACCCCTGTACCGATTTTTGTCCCACATCTCCATCCATGGACTTCGAGAAGCAACTCATTTTTTATTTTGTCAGCATGCTTCACATTTTGATATTGTTTGTGTTCCCCATCTCAAATTTTATTTCTTTTTTAAACACTGTATCCAAGTGCAAGTTCTGGAGAGTTAATATTGTCTGTCGGCACACAAAAGGCCAAACTAACGCGTATTGATTTTAAACTATAAGAACGGTGAGCGGTAGAATGCAAATGGGTCACTGAAGCAAATCTATCTATCTATCTATCTATCGATCTATCTATCTATCTATCTATCTATCTATCTATCTATCTATCTATCTATCTATCTGCACTCTTCCCCTACATTTCCTCGATCCGGCTGCTCCAATTTCCAATCTGTTTGGCCGCAGTATCCCCTACTCGACAGAGCGCCACTTTTCGCTGGGTAACATCCACGCCTTGGGAGATCTCTACCAAATAATCACTTGAGTCCCGAAACACCAATTCAAAGCCGGCCGCCATTTTTCTCCTCTCGCCCCGCGAGACTGTGATGCGTCAAGGAAGGAGATTTCCCGCGCTCTCTGATCGTCCCATGAGTGACGTTAGGAGCAGAAGCAAGGTGTCTAATTTCCCGCCTCCCCGCTACAGAACCCAGAGCGTTTCCATAAATGGGGAGAACGGTGTGGTGCTTTTACGCTGGCTGTAGCAGTAGCATCATCGGTGAACGGTCCCTGGTACAGAGGAAGTATCGGAGAAATCTCTGCCAAGGCGGTCGGTGTGCTGTGTTGGAAGAAAATGAAAATTCAGAGATAATTATTTTTGTCAAGATCACGTGATTTTTATTACCCTCTAAGTATAGGGTGTCATCTCTTCCTATACAAGAAGTAGGCAACACACTGTCTTTTTCTGGAAAAGGGAAAACAATTACGTTGGGAATCAGTCTCTTACAAAATGGCATTGAGACTATAGGCGTGCGTCATCACAGTAAGCAAAGAGACTGTAAATATATTGCACAGTTCTATGATAAAAGTAAACTTTAACCCTCCTTTCGGAACTTACTTGGCCTGGTACTTACTTAATCCTATCCGTATGCAATGTTTTACTATCGTATCCACACGTAGGGAACTCTGTGCCACCACTTTCAAAGAGGAAATTTACTCGTTAATCCGATCCGTCGCTTTGGAGAGCAGTCTGTCAAAATGATTTTTTAAAAGAAATATTGAAGGTTTCAAAGAGATCTTCGTACTAGAAGTATTCTAAAAGGTGAAGAATACAACCTGCAACTGCGGGGATACAAAGTGAACCCAGGGCTTATGGATAGGGTTAAGATGTATCCACTGCTTATTGGGCCATAGGTGGGTCGTGGAGACGCCTCGACAGAATATCGCTTTCAGATGATATTTTAGAGAATTATGGATGTGAGTGTGTGTGTGTGTGTGTGTGTGTGTGTGTGTGTGTGTGTGTGTGTG